CCCCAACCCCCCCCCCCGCCATGTCCTTTTCCCATTTTCTTATCCCAGCTCTGTGTCCCCTGAACTGCCCCCTACACTCCACAGTAATTAAATCACTGTTCAGCAAGTCCCATCTGAGCCCAGATCTCCCAGATCAGATGGGAGGACACATCCCTCTGGGGGGAAGCTGCCATCAGGACACTGGGGCAGGAGCAGCCTTGCTGGCCCCGTCCAGCCCCGTGGGAGGTCTCCCCCTATCATGCCCGCCCATGGGCCCCATTTCAGCTCAGGCCATGGCCCTCAGTCCCTGCCTGAGCTACCCCGAGATGTGGTCGTCTGCCACCGCGTTGCAGCCGTGCCAAGCCATGGACCTCACCAGCCCGGACACAGCGCCCCAGGCTGATGGCCCAGCCTGACCTGGGTCCAACTTCATCACCGTGGGTCAGCTGGCAGTCACTGGGCTGTGTCTGACCCTGCTCCCTGTCACTGGGCCTGGTCCTGCTCTCAGAGCTGCCTCCTTGCCATGACCTTGTCTGGCAACCTGGACTCTCGGTTGACCTTGGCTGCTGGCCCCAGACCTCCCCGGCCCTCCCCTCACCCCTGACAGTGCCCTTGGTGCCACCGAAAAGATGAACTACAGCTTGCCAACAGCATGATTTTCTGGGATTTTGATCTTTACAGTCGAGTTACTGCAGCACAAAGAGAGCTGATGCAAGAAGAGGAGCCAGGAACCTCTTCACTGTGAAAACCACTCCTTCACGTAGGCACTGCAAGGGCATGTCTGCACATGCACTGCTGTGCTGAGCAAAACACTCGCTTAAGCATCAAACCCGGAGCCAAATGGGAGCTGTGGTAATTGTCCTTGGGCTCCAGGGGATGTCAGCTTCAGCAGCCCTGCAGCTCTCTGCAGACCACATTGTCCAGCCTACATTGTTCTGCACAGATGTTATCCAAGTTGTCTCATGGAGCTGCAGTGCGCTCCATGGAGCAGCATGGACTTACTCCTTGTACCTTTCTTCTCTACCTTTTATACAGGCAATCATGATCACAGATGCATTCTTTCATATTCCTCCATATGAGAATATGAAATTTCAGTAGTTACTCTTGCAATAATAATTTAAAAAATGTTATTTCCAGGTTGTTCACAGAAATTGTGTGTGGAAAAATGAGCCAGGGAGATAAAGTGAAGGAAGGCAGCCTTGGTAGGGAATAGCTGAAATAACAGACACCAAGTAATTTTCAGCTGTAATATTTAACTTCAGTGAGAAATGCAAAGGAGTTTTGGCACCAGCTCCAAAGGTTATGCGGTAGTTGCATTAAACAAGTAGTAACTAGGAAAAAGCCCAAAGCGCTTGTACACATACTCACGTGCTCTCTGGTTGCCACACCAATTCCTAGCAGTGCTAAGGCCTGCAAGGAAGTAGCAAACATTCAAGACTTGCTTCTGGTTTTTTGATTCCAAACAGAGTTACTCAGCAGCATAAAGGATGGAATAATAGTTGATTCAGCACACTGTTTTCTACTCATTTTATAGAAAACATAACACATCTTATAAAACTTTATTGATTATTTTTTTTCCTGCTTTCTCTGCTCTACAAGCACTGCAAAGAATTACATAGCAGGGTGTGTGGAGCAGTAAGGAAATGCACATAGTGCACATCTGGGGTTATAACAGTGCAGTTAAGTATGGTGTGTTGGGAGCGCAAATTCTGAACCAAACTTCCAATTTCACTGCAAAACCCACACATTTTAAAAAAAAAGGTCGTTCGTTTTTCATACTAAACGTTGGCTGCCTTCCTCATACAGGCATTACAGTCCTTACGTATTTTATTTTAGAAACAAACTACTTCTTTAAACTTTAGGGAATACAGGTGCAGAACATGTGTCAAAGTCCTGCAGCAAATACATTTAATGGTACTCTGAATAACTAGTTTAACCTGAACTCTGACTGTGTGAAGGAGCAGTATCAACATTATGGTACTGATTGAAGTCACTGTATTATTATTGAAATAAAAAATATTAACTCTCCAACCTTTGAAATGGTTGCACGTCCCATCCAGTCATGCATATCCTCATCTGGAAAAGTTGGCTCCTTAGTCCACGAGGGTTTAAACTCAGCTGGTTTAGTGACCCACTCTATCGCTTCCGTTATTTCCCATTGTTGGTTTGCATCCAGCATCTGGGGTAAGGAAAATAAGAATCAAATACACTGAAGGATTCTATTGACTCATATCTATCAAACTCTCATAAAAAGCTGCAAAACTGATAGGAAGTGGTAGAAATTCAGGAAATAGAAAGGAAATCAGAAGCTGGAATTGCCATTCTGTCCATGTTGTGGTTTTGGCCACACTTGGGCTGAGCTGCAGTGGCTATAGCATATAATGGCTACAGCTATGTATTCATCGATACCAGACTAGATTTGAACCGAGCAGATCAGGAGCTGTAGGAAACAGAGCCGAGTCTTCTGTGGGAATGAGTGTATCTTGGCAGCATATACTTGAGTAAAGCACCCTAAAACATGGACACGGCTGCCTGAAATTTTCAGCAGAAAAGCTTCTTGACAAAAAAATGCAGTAGTTTAAATAAGATGAGTTTCTCGAGCAGCACTTCTCTCCCACACAGGGGAGAATTTTTCTCCCTGCAAAAAGTGAAACATCTGAAAATGACACCACAGTTCCTCTGCAGGTTCTTCAGGTCCTTGCCATCCTGTATTCACAGAGTCCCTGGTTCAGCGTGTCATTCTGCACAGCATCCCATGAAAGCTCTGTGCTGCACTGCAGCACCCAGAGCAGGCTGGCAGCTGTGGCATGTCAGGGAACACATGAGGCAAAGAATCCAGCCCATCGCAGTCAAAGTAACATTTCCAAATCAAAATGTATGCCTTCCATCTAATTATTCCTTTTAATTCAAACATTTTATTTTGAAAAACTTATTTTCCAGTTTATTTTTGGCCCATCATCAATGAAAAAATATCAACAGGCTTTCCTCTGGAAGCTATTTTAAATCTTCTACTGGGCAATCCTGGAAGTGGGGTTCTCCCACAGGCTTGCATGGAAGTTTTGGCACAGAAATACAGAATAAAACTCTTAGTAATACATCTACTTTGGTCATGACCAATACTGCTCTTTGTTGATATACTGTCTACGTTTAGCCTGTACCCAGGGCTAAACTATAACAGTCACTCTATCACCCAGCAACTCCTCATCAGCCAGGGAGGGGAACTGGGGAAAAAGAAGAGCAGACCCATGGGTGGAAGCAAAACAGATTTAATGGAACACCATCCATGCCAACAGAGATAGACAGAGTTTACCCAGCCAAATGAATATCCAGTCCTCAGCAGCAGGGAGAAACCAGAAGAAAATCAGGAAAACTTCCCCCTTTATAACGCCCATGACACGCTGGGATGGGCTGCATCTGTGTCTCACTCGGGGCAGCTGCCCTGGCTGACTCAAGCTGCTAACGGCTGCCTGGCACGGCTGGGCTGGGATCCTAACCCAGCCACACCAGGACGTATATATCAACATTTGTTGCCATCATTATTCAGGATCTGAAGAACGAAGAAAAAAATATTTGTCAAGAAATTTATGTAATGAGAGATACTTCATCTAATGGTTTTAAATAGAAAATAACATAGTATAGTAGCAAAAAGTGATATACAGTGTTATTTTGTCTGGACTAATAATTTCTCATATAAATCTGCATTTGCAAATATCATCCTGCAGATCTGCACCCACCTTTACTTTGAACCTAGATGCATATTTGGAACAAGATATAGATCACTTCTGAACGACGAATGCAGCAGTAAAATGGAATCCATAAACTAGAATTTACAATTTCAGCATCACTGTCTTACAGAAAGAACTTTCATATTACTTCTCTTCCCTTGTGAGTAAGCTTCATCCTACTCTGAAAATAAAATGGTAATGTTTTTTTCATAAATCAATGGAAACACGTTTATCTTCATTTGTGAAGCCTTCAGCTTTCCCACACCATTACTGGTTCCCTGCAATGCGGCATTATGCAGCAGTAGAAGGGGGAAGCGTCTGATAGAAACAGAAGCAGTCATCACTGCCCGTATCATAGACCTGGAAGAGTTAGACCAGGTCTAGTCCATCCGTTTAAAGCATAAACCACAGAAGAATAACGCTTCATACAAGCGTTTACTGCATGTTGTCCAGCCTTCTCTCAAGGCCTATGTGCGTGACTGCGAGCAAAGTTACATCAATTATACATCTCCAAATAACTCTACCACACTGCATCTAGAATAGTATTAATTTACACATTTTCAGAATAAGAATAAGCTTTTTATTTCTTCCTAGGAGGTAGCAGAAAACCGTCAGAAAATGAGATCAGATATATGAATAGCATCCAGCTGAACCAAACTCCTCAGCCCAACTGACTGTAATGTGAGAAATTTTTCTAATCCAGATACAAACATCCCACGACTGGGCAACACTATTTCTAGGCGTATATTTCGCAGAAGATTAATCACAGCTGCATTAGCTAAATCTGACTCCAATAAACTGTCCAGAGCTTTCACAATATTTCACAGAAAGCCAAGCACATGCATCTCCCTCTAGCAATGAGGATGGTGCTTTATGAACGAAGCTAAGGGCCCTTTGCTGCGCACAGTTTCAGAGTAGGCCTCAAAGCCAAGACAACCAAAAGTTCTAGAATAAGCGTGCAATTATCAAACTTTTGAGGTTCGTGTCATCTCTGGAGACAGCCCCATTTCTCAGCTATGAAGTTACTGCAGGTTAAGGGCACTGTGCTTCTGAACATAGCTATCCAAGCACAGATGTTACGTGTTTTCATTAACACTCCTAATGATCACACTTTTTGTTAATTCGTATCACTCTCCTGAGTATCCCTATGTCCATAAGCTCCTTGCTTAAACCAACAGAGCTGCACACGTGCAAACTTTATACCAACGTAAAGAGACTTCCATTTCTACCTTAATACCTTGTTCTCAATACTCATATTCCTTCGGTGTATCCTTGATCATAGACAGGACTGTAACACTGTGCCTTACCGGGAAAATTACTTAAATGACATTGGGCCTCCTTTTACCTCCCCAAATGGATCTGCAATATTACATTTTTACTCAGCCCAGCAAAAGTTCTAAGCGTTTAGGAGCAAGATCGTCATCTGTTAGCATTTCCCCACTTCACATTCCATTTTATATCTTACTATTGTGAGACTGAACATTCAAACCTGTTTTAACTGCTGGTCTGAGTAGCCCAGCCAGGCACAGGATCTTGTGCAAGCCATATATCCATGCTTCTGCATTTGCTGTTCTGAAGCGGATGAGGATGGTTTCACGTCAGGCTGCGTTTTAGTCAACAGAGGATTATTTTGTTAAATAGTGCATCGAAGAATGTTCTTTGGGGAAACTGAAGGATTAGAGGTGATTTAACTTCTTTTTTTCCTTGACAGCCATCATTTTAACCAAATAGATCAATTGTGCTGCATGAGCCCTTCCCTCTTCTCCCTAGCTATTTCATTGCAAGAGAACTGCAAACCAGACAAATCCTTGGAAGAACCAGAGAACAGCACAGTCTCCTTGCTGACCCAACACAAAGAGTTATATGGCAAAAGGTCACCATTGTAGCACAAAGCGAATGTCTGACTTTGCACTCCTGGAACATGTGAGAAGATGCTAGCCAACAACAGGCTTCATCTCACACAGTGCCCTTCCCACTCTTCAAGAGATGCAGGGTAATGGTTTTCATCAGGTACAGATCTACTTAAGCTCATCCCTTTCCTTTTTTCCCCAAGCAGGCCATTTTGGAGTATTTTTGGAGAGGAAAAAGCATAAATATCAAATCACACTGAACAACGACTCTCCTCGCTTTCCAGATTTCATCATTATGGTCGTCCCTCCAACCTGTCTTAGTCTCACAGGCTGGTGGTATATTCCTGAGTGAGCTGCTGCCACCAAAACTGGTGAGACAACTCAAGGATTAGGAAGACAGAGGGTACCAAAGTCCACCTTTGAAGGAAAGATAACTTACCATAAGCTTCTTCATCTGTTAGCCCATCAGTAATATACCTGAAATCCATGCAGCACAGTAATTGTTTGGCATCCTGAATCAAGGACGACATATAAAATAAAAAAACCCATAGCATAATGAAAGAGTATGATGAAAAAAAGATTATAAGTAATGCTAGACACTTGAGGAATGGCTGTCAATATTTTTCCTATTTCTCTGAAGGAAGCAGGGAGTTGAGACAGCAGATATTCTGAACCTCCCCCCCCCACCAGCTCGTCAGCCTGTGTTGCATTGCCAAGCGTGTGTGAGCCTAATTTCATGGCTGCGAGTAGTAGATAATAAGCCCTTTTCAGTTTCCTTTTAAACTCTGTCCAAGCAGGAGTAAAAAAACTAAACATGAAAGCCAAGTCACACTTCTCAGCTGTCAAATTAAGATAGAGAAGCACCCCTGTTGTCACACCTCCTGCTCTCAGGAAAGGAAAAACCAGGTTATTTTAGAACAGGCTCTTTCAGATCTTAATACTGAACAGAATTCCCCCCAAATGCCTGATCACTTCAGCAAACAGATCAACACACGAGGCCCAAGCATTTGCTAGCAGACAATACACAGTTCAATCATTGCGTTTTTAGTTTTCAGTAAGGAGTCATTTTGGGGAAAAAGCCCCCAGAAATTAAACAAATTAAAACAAACCCCCAGTTATCCAGGCTCCTTGGCCAAATCATCAACAAAGACGTGCAGATTCAAGCACAGTCCTTCAGCACACAGCTTCCCATCAGCGGCAGACGCTGGTTCCCACTGCCAGCTGTGACGCTAGAGCCGGACCAGACAAGCTGTACAGCTTCCCCAGAAGAGGGGCGAGTTTGCATCTCTGCGTGAGGGGAGACACACGAAGAGGGTACGTTGGGAGGGAAGGACATCTCTGAGCAGAAAGTAACACCCACCGCTGGGGAAACAGCTTCTGTCTGAAATGAGCTGTAAGAGCATTTTCGTTCGGACACGTACTCTTCTAGCACAGTTAAAACCAGTAGGGCCCAGTTGCCTTTAGACTGGAAATACAACAAGATTTCCTTACCATCTTGACTAGTAACTTCCACATACACTGAAAACCAAAACAAATGAAATAAGTGGAACCACGTGGTTGCCATAAAAGAGAAAACATGCAGATGCTTTTTTCTTCATGAGGAAGCGGTACGCAGTGCAGGCAGGTTTACATTTGGCACACAATATTACTGACACCAAAGCGATGCGGTGCTTAACCCCAAGCAAGAACATTTGACGCTTTCCCCTGAAAATCAAGGACCGAGCATCCTTCTTGACCTGGTTTCACCATGGAAGCAATATTGGTGGGGTGATTATTAAAAAAGAAAAAAAAAAAGTGCCTAATACCAGCTATCTAAAATGGCAACCTTCCCTCTGGCCCCCTCCCTTGCTGGAAATCATCATCATCCAAACTACCCTTTCAACATATAAGATGTCTCTTTGTGAATTTTTTGATGAGCCTCTTTTTTGGGGTGTATTATGCCCTTGGGCTTTGGCAAGCTGAAGGCTGCTGGTTGCTTTCACAAGCAACGGTACGGGAAAGCTCAGCCCCACAGAGCAGAAGGGAAGAAAAGAGTGGATGCTGGCAGCCCTGAGCCGGTGGGGCTCCAGCCCCCTCTCCCGTGCAAGCTCTACAGTCAGGGTAGTGCGGTGGCGTGTCCCAAGCCACACCGTACACGACCGTGCACAGCGGTCACTCCAGTCAGTGCTAGCTACAGCTTTTTGCTGTTTCTGGCCCCCTAAATCAGAAGGTCTGCAAACAGCAAGGGTGTCCAACCGTGCCTGTCAGCATATGGCCACAGCAATGTTGTACCAGGTATTATCTGTCCTCCTGCGGGGGTCTGAAGTGTTAGTTCTGGACTAGAACCCCACCATACCAAGGGTTTTAAGCTCACAGAGCAAAAGGCCAATTTCTGGCTGTCACAAATTAAAGGGTTACCTGGTCTACAGGTGTGGACAGATCACAACCGCGGGTTTGTGGCATTCTGTAATATGCAAGGACACGGACATTTTATCCTCTAAATTTCTCTGCTTTATTACAGACTACCACAAATACCACAAAAATCACCACAAGCAGGAATACTACCACAAAAATCACCACTAGCAAACATACCTGTGATTAATAAAATTGATATTAATGAATATAGATCAAGCTATTATAAATCACTATCAGCAATCAATAATATAGTATCAATCAGTAGTATGTTATCAATCAGTAACAGCATCAATCAGTATTGTAGCACAACCAGTAACAGCAGCAGCCAAGTAGCTATATACTATTACCGATTACTACAGTTTACCATTAATGAAGTAAACTCATCAACAATGTAACAGCAGATATATTTGTGATAGATTACTTATATGAATATATATAATATACATATGAAATGAAATAAGACAGATTTCAGAAGGAGCCAAACCATCCCCAAAGGAGGGAGCAAATGGATCCCAGAGGGGGACCAAGCACCCCCAAAAAGAGGGGAGGCCAGACTGAGCCGCTAAGACAGCAGGCAGAGTCCCACTTCCAAACTGATCCGCATCACAGACTCTGCTTTCAGCCAGGCGTCCCTGGGGAGAGCCCAAGAGCTCACAGAAAGTTCATGTGGGATTCGGCCGGGAACTTCTCAGAAAGAGAGATACTCCATTTTGGATAAAAATTAAGTCATTTTTGTATCACAGAGACATGAGAGCGAGTAGGACATTGAGCAGTCAACAGATGCTGTTAATTTCTATTTTTCACCCGTAACAGCTAATAGACGATGCTGTTTTCTGTTCCTTCAGAGCAATTTGGGTTTTTTCAGACTGTTTTCCACTTTCTCAGACGATAAATTGCCGTTACAGTCCCTTGTTTTTTGTTGCTTATTGGTGGATACCAATCTGTGAATGTCTCTGGTTTCTAGGTACCCCGGCTGCACTTCAGAGAGGCCAGCTGCACTTTTCAAGGATGGTTTTTTATGGTTCACAGGGTTAGTCCCCAGGCTCGCCGTTCCAGGCTGGCAGCTCTTTCTCTGTCAGTATTTTTGAGCAGACAGTATCTTTTGTTCAGCCATTTCCCCTTCTAACCAGGACGCCTTTATGGCTGCTCACATCACTGCCTAAGTAGGTTATTTTTAATATCCAGTAACATGCTAAGTACATGAGATTTGGCTCCCAGATCAACAGCATATTCAGTAGGGAAGTGAATAAAAGATTAAAATCTCAGATTAAAATCTCCAAGTAAGAAAGACGAAATCAAGAGAAGGGCATACAGAGAAACATCTGATAAACAGAGCTAGGAAAATCTTTTCTTTCAGAAATGCCAGAGCTCCAACAAAATTACTCTGAAATGTTCTGACCAACTCCACCACTAAGCACGGTGCAGTTCTACAATTTTCCATCCTGCAAAAAATAAGCATGTGCAGAACCTCCAAAAACTTGGCGATGCCTGTACTTCATTTTATATTTTAAAGCTAAAAATATGTATAAATTACTGCAAAATCAAGTCCAGATGTGCCAATGGGGGCGACCAGAAGCAGGGAATCTCTCTGAATTAATAATTCTAATACTGAGATCCCATGAGCATTACCTTTCCCTCTCGCTTGGCCCACAGAGCATTCAGCTGAGACAGCAGCTATGGACAAGTGCACAGCACCCTTCTCTGGTCCAATCTGTTGAGCAAACAAATGTACATCCACCAGTGTCATCCACAGTGGTTTGATATCACTGGTGTTTTTGTTTCTGTTAAACGTTACTTTGTTCGCCAGAGATAAAAAGATAGCACTGCTGACAACGCAGCAAAGGGAAAAGTCATTGATACTGGAAAAAAAGAAGGAATTTGTATTGGTTAAAAATTACAAAAGAAGTAGATGCTGAAATGCAACTTGCATCAAATACCCACCTGGGACTCTCTGAGCGGTCACTTGCACACTTGCCTTAGCACCAGATAGGTTCCCAATTTCCGAGAATAAAAATGGAAACATTTTGTGAAGGTGCACAACTTCTATGTTTGTTCCTATCCTTTTCACAGCAGCACCCCCAATGTGCCTTACCCAGCAGAGCTGCCTGTTGCTGGCGAGGTCTTTGTAGAAGCTTCCGAAGTTGTTGACAATTTCTCCCATGTCTCTAGTGCCCACATGAATAAAGAAACCCTTGACAGCCCATGACTGCAAAGCACAGCAGAATTTCCTGCCAAATGCCTGTAATAGAATGATTTCCTCAGCTGATACTTCAAGAAGTAACCTCTTCTGACAGTCTATGGATTTGAAGTGTCAGCATGGAACAGTTCACTTTGCATCCAGATCTGGGTGGCCGCTGTCAATTTACTTGCATGGCCATGTTTCCTCTTATACTTGCCTGTTTCCAGATGCTGATCCCTTCCTCAAAAAACCTCATAATTATGAAGGGCTTTCAAGATGAAGTGTTGCTCCTGTATCACCTCCCACTCCACAGGGGAAGAAAATAACCACCCTAGACCGACAGCGCAGAACATTGTTAAAGAGACGGAGGCCACCAGGTCACATCTCCTCTGAGGGAAACAGCATTTCTATAAACGAGAGAGCCTTTACACACCATCCCTTTCAAGCAACGGCAGCACTTCCCAAGCTTTGGTACTTGCAGTCACATTCAGGTTCTCATTTCCTCATAAGTCACGCTGTTTTCTGGCAGTGAGATAATGGCAGTTGTGGTCCAACTGTTTCTGGTCCCCAAGATTCAAGGCCGAAGCTGAATTTTGGTTTTTTTTCCAGTCCCACCTACCGCTACTCAACGTCAACATACATTCCCAGCAAGGGTTTTTGTTGGGGTAAACCACCGCATGCAAATCAAGTCTAGCAAAGAGCAGAGTGTCAGGGAAAGGACAGACACGGTATGAAGCCTTATGCCAACCATCATTTTCTTTAGCAGCATGGAATAAAGAGAATCTTAAGAAATATGGCACCACGAGTCCAATTCTGTGAGGTCTCCCCTGTTCAGGGCATTTGCTTGAGATCTGAACCTCGGTTTTGCAAGAACATTTTTGTGCGATTCTGGCTAAGACACTTGCCTGTGTCTCAGTTCCTCTGTTGCTCCTACCTGCACCGTGGGAAGAACATCCCATCCCACTTTCCTCGGATATGATGAATCATGTACTCCAGCGGGTGAGGTCAGTTGTGTATCTAGGCAGGTTGTACCAAGCACACTTCACTTATGACAACAGAACGGTGTTCAGCACCTTATATTATAACAGACCGTGTGACAGACTCCAATATTAAGCTGACTAAAGATAATGGTTTATCCTTAAAGAAGCTTAAAATAACTGAGTATGTACTTGCCAGCTTGCTAATTCTTTTTTTTTTTTTTTTAAAAAAAGTAGATCTTTCTGCAAGAAACAATTGCAAAGGTAGATTGAAGGAGGAAAAGGCATGATATCATCAAGTCACGGGTTTTGTGGGTGTTCAGCTGATTGCTTAGAGGGTTTTGAAATATTCAGCAGTGTCAGTGAAACACCAGACTTGAGCGGCAAAGAAGGAATTTCTCATTCTATGGCCCAGGGCATCGACCGGCTGAAAGGGCAGCAGAAAGCCCTTCTAAAGCACTGCCGCCCACCAATTACATGTGGAAGTTACGCCTGGTGTGAGAAGGCAGCGACGAGCACCGCAGAGGAACTCGCACGTGTGCCCGCTGGGCACTGCTCGTCGAACACCTTCGCGGCCGCCGCCT